ATCGTTGATATGTGTCTGGTATGTAGATTATGTTGCACACGTCAAACCCGATATTCTTGTAGTAGCACTCTAAAAATCTTTAGTTATGATGTTTTTAAAATCTTTTAAAATTTTCTCTAAATTTTAAATTTAAAATTTTATTTTAAAATTTAAAATTTAAAATTTAAAANAGATCAGTTGGACCGATTATGTGAGAAATGAAGAAGTGTTATATAGAGTCAGTGAGCAAGGGAATATCATACACGAAATAAGAAAACAGAAGGCTAATTGGATGGTCATATCTTACGCTGTACCTGCCTTCTAAAAGAAGTAATTGAAGGAAAGATAGAGGGGCAGATAGAAGTGACCAGAAGACGAGGAAGAAGACCTAAGAAGATGCTCGATGACCTTGGGGACAGAGGAGGATATTCTCATTTGAAGGAGAAAGCTCTAGATCGCATTAAGCAGAGGAACTGTTTTGGAAGAGACTGTGGACCTGTCATCTGACAGATTACTGATGTATGAATGAAGAAACACACCCATGCCACCTAAGATTACACTAACAAATCCCACATGGAGATTTTAACTGTTTTTCTAAATTTAATAGGGCAACCTATTTNAGATGGCATTATTATGCCGAAACATGTAGTGCAAGGGAAAGAAGGAACTAAATGAATGTATGCACTGCAAGACGGATTAAATAAATCATGGACTAAGATCAAAGACATATAAATGTATATTGTTTGCACTTAGGACGGAGTTTGTATCATTTATCGTGTAGAGTGCAACAGGATGCTTAAATATAATATTGCAACCTATTTTAGATTGAATTTTAATCAAAATTTTAATTTTAAATTTAAAATTGAAACAAGCAGTGCAGTGAATAGTTTTGCATAACGAGGACAACTAATGATGGTCATATAGCAAAATATGTTGTGAACAGAAATTAAACTGACCGTAAAACTCTTATATTGCATTGTAATGGAAATATATAATGATGAAATAATCGCCTAAAATTTAATAACTATGATGTCTAAGATACTGTCTCTAATCCCATGATAATGAAAGAAACAAGGGTTTAGGAGAAGTTGTAATATCTGTCATGTAGTCCATTGAAAGTCAACTGACATTTTGCAGGGACATGTTCCTTCTAGTAAATACAGCTCTTTAACTAATGTCTTAGACTATATAATTTAGTCTAACCTGTGTTTTTATATATTTCAGAATAGGTGGCTGCTCTTTTAATTTCTCACTTTCATCTTTCTTTGGAGTTTTCCCCAAAGATAAGGTTGCTGCAGATGTTACGTACGACTTCTGCTGATTACTGCGACATTTATCAACATCTTGGTCAGCAATATCTCTAGATGAATCCCTTTGACTTCCAAGCAAGCGACCAGAATGTGATCCATCTGCATTGCGTTCAGTTCTGGAAAAAAACAATATATATATATACTTATGAAAATCAATCAATAATCACACTTTGAATCAAATCAGCCATTTAACAAGAACTACGGCTACAAGTGTCCTAACACTACTTACTATATTTACATATATATAAGCCACACTTTTATTCTTCTAAATAAGAGTAGAAGCTACAGTCTCAGTTTATACAGCATCAAAACATATGTCCTTCATGTCCTTCAATGCAGACACTTAGTAACCTTCAAGTTCTAAGACAGTCCTCATTTTATAATATGCACTTAATTCACGGAACGAATTCATAATATTTTATGCTTACACCATGAACTGTAAGCAGTATGAGTATCTATGCAGTGAAGTATTGTGACACATATGACCATTGGTAGGCAATGGCTTGGTAAACACATTCCCAAAATTACACTGTCAACAACAGAAGGATATCCATTGCCAGGTAACAGGTCACTAGACATGTTTCTGCAGCAACGAAAATGCATACAATAACATAGGAACTGTTGGAGGTGGTCATCTCTATTTGGTTCTTCCCTGAGTTATATAGGGAGGACACTTGGGAATGCTCAGTGAGTTTAGTAGTTCACGTCAGCTCAGAAGCTATACGAGAACTGAGACAGAAGAACAAGAATGGAGCATGTCCTTGGTAGTAAATTGATTATGAGCTGTTTTAACTGATTACAATTAAGAGTGATTGTAAAAGAAGACATCAATAAATAAAATCATTCAATCCAGAACCTGTTATTATTAGTCACAGAACCCAAGACACATGATTGTATCTTGTAAAATATGTCTGCTAATCACAGACTTGAAAGTTAAAAAGTGTAGTTACAAAATGTAGTACAAATATATACACAGTGTGACAGTAAAGTACCCAAACTGATGCTACCACTAAGTCCCATCTATCGGTGATGAATGGGAATAGTTAGAAAGTTTATTTATATGATGTGCAAGTTTCAACTTGTAAGATTTGAGGCTTTCACGGCGGTGACTATGAAGAAAGCAGTCTTCTGGGATTTGGCACCATGCATATGTTGTGTTAACCAACGTTTCGGAGGAACATCTGCAGTCTGCTTTTACCGGTTCTCACGGTCTCTTCGCGTGCAGATTTCTTATATTTTTTCTTCTACCCTGAAGATGGAGGCGATACGTTCCTCCGAAACGTCAGTTAACACCACATATACACGGTGCCAAATCCCAGAAGACTGCTTTCTTCAAGTTTCAACTTGTTTGGTTGAGGCATATTACAACTACAATTGTTTTGGTGAATTTAGTTTATTCGTGGTGTCGAAGGTTTAAAAATGGAACAAAGAGCAGCAATTAAGTTTAGTGTAAAAACAAGAAACCAGCTATTGAAACTTTTGAAATGTTAAAAAGTGTGCACAGTGAAGAATGTTTATCAAGAACAAGTGTGTTTCAATGGCATAAAAGGTAAATTGAAGCTCAGAAAGTGAGAATGCAAAAGCGTGGATGAAAACAATGTTGACTTCATTTTTTGATGCTAAAGATATTAGTCATCATGAATTTGTTCCAGAAAAACAGACTGTAAACAGTAAATTTTATAAAAAGGTCATTAAGGGAATAATCACTTGAGTTAAACATGTTAGACCTAAGTTTCAGGAAAGTGGGTCCCGGTATCTTCTGCACGACTATCCACCAACACATTCTTCAGCCTTTGTCTCAGAGTTTTTGTGAAATGAGAGATCCTGTATTATTCCATCCATCCTACAATTTTAACAAGGCTCATGGCTACCTGTCCCTTCTACCCATGCTGTCCTTTCGTCTAATGGGTGATGCCTGAGTACTTGTTTGATCTGATACTTTTCTTCCACGAGTCTTGTCCTTCTTGTTATCTTCTTGCTGTTGCTTTTCTTCATCTGATTCCCATACATTGCCTGCTACTATTCCAAACTCATCTCCATATATCTGTAAAGTGAAAAATTGTGACTACCTTGCACTAAAAATAAAATATATGAACTATACAAACAATAAAACTGGACATACATAATAATTCATAATATTCTAATGTTACTGAAGATGACTGGTGCTGGAATACTTGTGAACCTTTATTATAATAAAGTTGGTACATTCTGAGACAGAATCCAGTCTCTGAAATGTTGTGTTTAAAAAGAAAACAGGAAAATGAATAATGTCCAAAACCTTAATATTTTTTTTATATATCAGGTATTGCAGCCCAGACATAAATTAACATACATAGCAATAATATACATACACGGTAGAGTCATTAAGTTCGTGGAATGTGGTCCACTGTAGTGCATTGCAACGACACTTTGCAGCCATTCAACGAACTTACTGACTGTGGTAGTATATCTAGAACAAAAATAAAATGTATTCTACAAAGAAATCAAATTCCACCATACTACTTAATAACTAAATTTGGTACCAAAATTTTAGACAGGGTAAACTGAGCAAATAGTGTGACATCATCTGACAAAGGTCTAAATCCACTCAAATTTTCTTTAACTTAGCTGGTTAAGTAACTAAATCACCAGTATGTTATTACCAAATTCACCAATGAGAAATTCGCTGTTAAATAAATCCAGCCTATTTTCTAAGATATATTTTAACATGCTGGTCCGATTCCAGGTGCTATCAGATATTTTCGGAGAAGTAGTGGGTCTGGAACAGGGTCCACTCAGCCTCGTGATGATAACTAAGGAGCTATTTCAAGGAAATAGCGACTCCAGTCTAGAAAACCGAAATTAACGGCCATGGGGATTCGTTGCGTTGACCATGTGACACCCTCCATCCACAAAAGTTGGCACTAAAACTTCACCAACAAGCAGCGGTCGCTTGGTCGGTATGGTTTGCTTGCGGACTGAAAATACGGAGTTCTTTCTTTATAGACAGGGTATTTAAATCCTCTGGCCAGAATGCTCTCAGAATTTAAATTCTGTTTAAAGATTCTTATGAACATTCCCACTGGTTTTAAACTCCTAGTGCTTCTTTCATTATTTTGTAAAAATAAAAGTTACTGACATAAATACTTAAACTTATTGCAGCAGGTTATCTCTGATCAATATGTAGACAATTATACCGGAACTTTCTTTCTTATATCCTTTACTCCTTCTATCATCTAAAATATTTCTGTAAAGAATGTATAACAGTTTTAGTACAAAATTTCACATTGCAATGAAATAAAATTCTGAAAGTCAGCTAAGCGACACAGGTCAGGTTCTAATCACTACAAAGAGAATAGCTATGTCTGATTAGAAAGCTGCAGGGCTAAGTCAACCCTGCACTCCGAACATTAACAATTAGCCACAAACAGTTCTGTCTCTCAAAGCAGAGACTAACATGAAAGAAGTCATGTTTGTCCCCCTATGCTGTTACTCATCCATTCATTCAAATTAATGCAGCCCAAGTAATGCAGACAGCTTTACAGTGCCACTCAAAACGTTCATCACTGTCTTATGTCATGGTTGCCTAGAACATGGTCAATACAAGTACTGTAAAGTAATGTACAAATACAAGTATTGTAAAGTAATGTACACTATTGAACCTATTAAAGGCAACTTTATTTTTGATAAAAAATTATGTATAAGTAATGACTATGTGTATTTAGCAAGTACTGCAGGCACTGCCCACAACCTTACCCGTCTTACAGACTTTATGAGCCTTGAGCATGCTCGCATGTGACGTCGATAACAGAAAGGATGGCAGAATGATTGGTGTGAACAGTAGAAGTTAAAAGAATTTGCTATTTGTACAACCACCTGCAGAAAAGGACAAATAAGAGTAATCAGAATTCCATTGTTGCCAAATAAATCATCACACATATAAGTGAACAATCACAAAAAAGGGACCAACCTTAGGAAAACTGTGTACAGGCTGTGATTTTTAGACTTGGGTTCTCCTTTGTGTGTGAGGAGAAATATGGTAAGTAACAAGGAAATGGCTGCAGTTGCTTTCTGAGAGGGATGGAAGTTGACACAATGTAACTAAGGCCCTGTCATAAAATGTTGACTGAATTTACCCTAATATTTTCTTCTTTCTTACTGTAATGCATATTCAACACCACAACACAAGAATGGAAATCAATACATTTTTTAACCATTAATCATAATTACAGGCATGAAGACAAGGGCAACACAAGAATATTAGCCTCTGTCACTGTTCATATCTGTGTCAGTGTTTAGTGGGCTGTTCTTATACTGAAGATAGACCATGTGGTTCATTACCATTAATATTATTCAGTTCACTGCCAGTCTGTACTACTTCTATTGTCATTAATTCTATCACAGTAACCTCATGCGGGTGTAGCAATTTCCTGCCCTTCATCCAAGAGATTTTACTATCTATGTATCAATTATTCTTTTGAGATGGAAGAAAATTTTCATAAGCAAGTTTAATAATATCCAATTTGACGGTGACATTTTTCTCAGTAACTCAGTTCCTAACCATTTTCTTAACTGACTCAGTACATAAGTACATAATGTGGTGGGAGGCACAAAATTTTATGGTTTTCAATATTCAGAAGACTCAATTCTGTAAGCGTGAAGCAGAAATTTCTTAATTTAAATCCACTGGTGTAGATTTGGTTTGCACATTTCGTCTGAATATGGAATTCCTTCCTTCTAATCCATGATGTTATTACACTGGAATTCACTTGGACATTATGACAGGGGATTGTTTATAACACTATGTAAAAATAGATTTTCAATTAGTTTATCTTTCAGCAACTTCTTGTAACTTATAAAATTCATGTCATTAAGATAAATTCCTGTACTCCGATTTGACGTGAAGCATGAATTTTTATGAAGCCACCATCATTATGATAACCAGAACACTGTGATCACTTCAGTCAAGTGGTGTGCATGATTCATGAACGTAGGTTTATCCTTTTGTACTACCCATGTCCTTAATATCTATATCTCTGAACAGACTGTAAGAGTAAGATTTGAGGCTTTCACGGCGGTGACTATGAAGAAAGCAGTCTTCTGGGCTTTGGCGCCGTGTATATGTGGTGTTAACCACATATGTGGTTAACACCACATATACACGGCGCCAAAGCCCAGAAGACTGCTTTCTTCAGACTGTAAGAGATTCTCTCTGCTGTGCAGTGCCCCTCATAATTCGTTTTCAATCCTTCCCTACCAAAAACCCAAAGTACGAAGAATTTCCCTTAATGATGATATGCTTTCTTGAACGTCTTGCACATATTTTCTTCAGTGATATTCTCTGTGAGCCACTCTGTCATTCTCAACTCTATGTTTGAGACCAGCTTCTGTGTCTTCTATCAATTTTGCCAACCATCTTCCTCTCCTTGGCATAACCTCTACATGTCACACAGTCATGTGACATAGGCGATCCAATCCACTCTCATTACCACTTCTGGAGAGCCTGCCTGAGTTCCTTTAAAGACTTTGAAGTTTGAAGCATTCTCTATCTAATGGGGAAGCATGGGGATGGGAAGAAAATGAAAATCATGTTTGGTTCTGTTCCCTGTAGCTCCTGTAGCTTCCTTATTTAAGGAGAAGATGATGTTGAATTTCTACATCTTGTTTATTTTGGCAAAATATTTATTCTGTCTGAGTGCATCTTTCTTGGTTCCATGGAATATAGGTTGTGTGGACGTTTGTGTAATTGGCCTCAGAGACCATACCATTGGTTTATTATTGTTATTAAATTTTATTACTGAAAATTTAAATATTTCTTTGGTAGCAGTAGTTGGGATTGGAGTAAGATTTGAGTTAGTACCATATTATGTTGTGTTTATATCAAGCTTCCATTTTCTCATGTGTATTCTTGGACAAGCTCAGTGCCATCTTGCGGGAATCGTAAACTACAACAGAACCAGAGAGACAAAAGCAGCACCACCCACAAATAGTTCTTAATGATTGGTAAAGGTGGACGAAGTGTGAAGCTAGCTGCCTTTCACCTGTGTGTGATGAAGAACTTATCTGCTGTAGGATGAACATACTGTTTCATTAAAATCACTTAACACTGCTTTCAGGGATTATTTTATGAGGTGTTGAATGTATAAGGGGTGGACCTTCTTGGCCCCTGCACCACAACCACAGTGATATAACACTGATGCACCAAATATGAACATGGAAATTTCAATCTGAATTCGCCTGACTGGTCTCTCAGATACATTTATCACTTAGGCTGCTCCTCTCTGCATCAACTTGAGTTCTATTGGATCTCCTCTAACAGCTCCCCTATTTATAAATTTACACACGTTACTTGTCATTTCTTGGAATTTTCAGTGAAGAAATTTCCCCATTCGTGTGCCCTTAACAGGTGGTAGAGCCAATATAGTTGTCATGAAACAAGACCTCGAGGAGTATTATTTCGACATTGCCTTATTACTCAACACCGTAACTACAATTCAACGTAAAATTATTTTTCTTTATTGCTAGTGGGGTGGGACTAAGTCCCTTGTACTGCAGCCACTTCTAGCCTATTGTACCAGCCACAGATGATAGGTGATGGTGATTGTGGAGCAATTGTTGTAATGAAGACTGGCAGGAGAAACCAAAGTACTTGGAGAAAACCTCCCCCAGTGCCACTTTGTCCACCACAAATACCACTTGACCAGACCCGGGATGGAACCCAGGCCACCGCAGTGGGAAGCCAGCTATGGTGAGGCCACAATTCAACGTAACTATAACATGAAATGTTGAACAAGTCGTCTCACAGTCACTCCTTTCATATTAACAACTCTCAATTGAATGTAGAACTTTCGAACTCTCCATGCTGGCTAACCATTGGCTTCACACACTGCCTTCTGTCGGCTTCCACTGGCTTCTCTCAACACCCTGCCTCCGCTGGGCTTCCACCGTCTTCCCTCAACACACAAACTCACTTCTGTCAGCACACTGGCTTCTCTCGACACACACACTGTCTTCTGTCGGCACACACACTCACTTCTGTCAGCACACTGGCTTCTCTCGGCACACACACTGGCTTCTCTCGACACACACACTGGCTTCTCTCGACACACACACTGGCTTCTCTCGACACACGCACTGTCTTCTCTCGGCCCTCAGCTGGGTTCATATACTGCTGCCTGTTGCCCTACCAGCAGTAGTACTCACTGTTACGTCACAGCGGGGAAGTGTTTACTGGCCTGTTACCCTAGCAGCGGCAGCAGCGTCCATTGTTACGTAACAGCAGGTAAATGTTGCCTAATACAGCTACTCTGCTGTTGTATCACCGCAGGGTAATATTACTAGCAACACGTGCGTTATCGTATTATGCTGAGTCCATGATTCCCAACAACAGTGATGCACTGCGATGAAACTTGGAAGTGTGAAAGCTTTCTTTTGATTGATAAACTCACTACAGCCCTTACCTCAGTTAGTGAACTCAGCCAAATATGGCACATATTCTGCCGAAAAGATCTGGATCTGAGAACAGGGACCATACTCTCTTGAACAGATTGTTAGAAGATTCAGGTATCTGACCTCCATTTCTTGTGGGGAGAGAATGAGATGTTTGTTCTCCATATTCCCAATGGTAATGTCTTTGTAATTAAACAGTTGATTTATCTCCCAAAACCACAACACAGACATTGCATTTTGCTGAAGGCAACTGCCATTTGGTGTTCATCAGCTGTGTACAATTCAGCAGCATCACTATTACCTGGGCAGTTAACATGAAAGATTTCAATTGATGCTTCTGAACAGTACAATCCATTTCCTGATATCTCTAAAACTTTGTGATGTATGAAAATTAGAAATGTGAAGAATAATTTATGGCCACTGTATAAATTGAGCATGACAGAGACCACCTGTGGGGGTTAACACAGAAATTATGAAGACATATTCAGCCACATGCATGAGACTTTTTATCTATGGTCATATATAACGTTCTGGCCATAGTCCATCAAACCATAATCCAACTAACTAGTATTGGATACAGCAGACCACAAACCTGCTGTATGGTTAAAATAAGCTAACTATACTTCTGTGGTTTGGCCACATGCCCATAGTGAGGCTGGAAGGATTGGGTTAATTTTAAAATCCAATGACCTCATCAGGAATCAAACCCGTGACCTTCCAGTTTGTAGCAGAGTGCCTCAACAAAGTATGCTACCATGTGCTTCAATTTTAAGTTGGGCCATCATTTAATGTGCTCTAGCAAGAACATGAATGCATGGCCATGGGTGCAAGGTCTCATGCATGTGACTGAATGTGGCTCTTCAACTTTGAGTCTGAACTCCTACAGAGTATTTCTGTTGGGCCTGGTTCGTACATCATGCATCATGTTACTTCTGAGGTCTGGAGATAGGGACTTGCTATATTGATTGAGCCCAACAGAGGAGACTATTTACATTAGAACAAAGACCAAATCCAGTCTCCAAAAAGTAATTTTTATAATGTTTAAATAATGGACAATGTCCATAAAATTGATCACTGCGTAAGCGAATGCTGTTCAGCAAAATCAGAAGAAGTTTTGTATTTACAATTTTGAAATTTAGTAATGTGTGTGAAACTCATGTTACATATATTTCCCATACCAGAAAACTATGTCATCCATAAAGTTTGTGCTGCCCCCTTAGTTTTAATTTTCTCCATGCTCAGAAATTTTGTGCTTATAAAGTCAAGATATCAAAAGTCATATTCCAAGTTTAAATTATAAATAATATATTACCACAAGACACTAGTTATCCCACACGTTTCATTTAGACAGTGAGGGTACTACAGGAAATATGAAAATCATAAATTTGTAAAAAAAAAAAGAAAATGATACACTTACTTTCAACCATGGCATATTTTTGGCAGTGTCATCTGCATCATTGCTGTCACTTGGACTCTCAGGTGGTTGGTCATCGCTCAAGATTCCTGGAGACTCCTCCCCACTCACTTCTCCACCACCACCCAGTTCTGATATATCACTTCGATCAGACAGTGAGCTCACTTTCCGTTTTGACTGCACTGAATCTGTGCGTTTAACTGAAATGGGAACAGAAAACTTTGGTGTGTTTAGTCATGCATGATCTTACAGATACAGAATATTAACAAAACTGGTAAAATCATTCACACACTGACATGGTCATATGCACACATTCATTCACGTGCAGAAACACATGGTTGTGTATTTATTTTTCTGTGCACATTGATTAAATAACGATATTTCAAAGCAAATGGGGAAGAGAAAGCAGTGTAGGGCAGATCTGCCACTGTCTCATCCTACCCAACTTCAAAATCTTAAAAGTAGCTGAATTCATGATCTGAGCATTTTCCAGTGTGTACCTGCTACGCATATGATAAAGTAAAAAGAGTATCTGAAGTTAGGGTAGTTCTCCCAAGAGCTTCTTCTGAAGTTCCGACCATAATTCTAACAATACTTTCAAATCTGAAAAATTATGGATCATTGCAGTTCACATGTGCTTTCCTACCAGATAATTTGTATTCCTCATTTTATACATAATTATGGAATTTAAATTCTGCACAGTAACTCATTTACATTTGATTATGTTTGCTCAATTCCTCAAGATTTTGAGCATTTAATGCAGTATCATACATCATACAAGGTGTGTCCCAAAAGTCATGAAATATATTTCTTTCCCGCGCTTCTACTGGTCAGAGCACGCTGGAACCGGTTGGNGGGGGGGGGGGAGAGGCCTTTAGCTTCACAGCACACCCAAGGTCAGTCTGCTTGAGCATCAGAGACATCAGTATCGCTGATTTAGTGCCCCTGTGTTTTGTGACGTCACAGCGCGCAATGGCGGATACTTTCGAAAAACGTTGGGCAGTCAAGTTCTGCACAAAGCTCAATAAAAAAGCTGCCGAAACTTATGAACTGCTTAAGCAAGCCTACGTGGAGTCTGCTTTATCATATGTGCAAGTTACAAGGTGAGTGAAGAAGTTTAAGGAGGGCCAGGAAGGAGTGGAAAATGACCCCCGCTCTGGACGGCCATCAACAAGCCAAA